AGAAAGTGTCAGTGTAAGCATGTAGCAATACTTCCCCAGAGAGTTTCCTGTTGTTTAGCTACATCTCAGGGACTTTCAGAGCCGAAGGTGAGCTCTTTATCATTACTAGCTTTTGTCTTCTGCAAACTTGTCCAGTCCCCCTCCCATGACTTGTACAGCCATGTAAACTTTCTAGCATTCATAACATCCCACAGCAAGGATTTTAACAGCTGAAATTGTACTCTGCTGTGGGCAGTCTTTTTGAGCCTGCCACTTCTTAGCTTTCTTTGATGACCCTTAGTGCATATACTGGAAGAAATGGTGAACAACTGGCCCCTAACCATGCATTCACAATTCCATGGATGTTGATCTATCTAGCATTTACCTCTCTGTAGCAAGCTGAACGATGTTTCAATCTACCTGCAACAGCTAGAAGAATGGTTGTAATTTTGTGATGGAAGGAAGGATATTTATACAGAAATATTCCTGACAACAAAGATAAAACATGGAGAGACAGCCAGTAAGATGCTCATGCAATGCCCTGTTTTGACAGATGAGTCTTTTCACTCCATTTTATTATGTGAGTGCTTCACAATAATGCTGCAGGTTCCTCCAGTGTTTCTGTGGATGTGTGCATGGTTTGCATCTGCAGGTTGACTGAACGTTCTCCCTCACACCTCTCACCCCGCCTTGCAGACCTACGCACCAGGACATGGGCAAACGGCTGCTGGCCCACCAAGTTCCCCTCTGCCAAATAAACAGCGTGACACTGAAGTATATCCCAAAAAACCGGTTTTGGAGAAAGGATGAGCCATCCATTGTTGGCAAGTTCTGTGTGGCGCCGCTGCCTCTCAACAGCAGGTGAGTCAGAGGAATATCTTACAGGGATACACTAAGCCTGTGGTTTGAAAAAATGCATTCTTTCTCCCCTTCAGATAAACAAGTAAAGAGGTTTCTCCCATCACCTCTGTGTCCCTATGTAACTCGTTTTCTACCTGTGAACGAGAAAAGCTACCAAACTAGTTTTCTAAAATTCTTCCCCTGGGCTAAAAGCATTGTGCCATGGAAGGAAAATGGCTGCAACTCACATCACCTTGAACATAGTTAAGTCACAAACCATGGCAAAAGCTTGTACTAACTAGAATTTATTCCTTTTGTCTTTGCATGCCTTCTCCATCTTCCTCTGTCTAAAATGGGCCCCCATCTGAAACATGACAAGGAACATTTTTCAGGCTGAGACAACAAAAGACCAGTAATATATTTCTTATACAGCAAGGTTTAAAAGCTCTAAGGCTATAGACAACCATTTTAGCATCTTCTAGGCCAGACATTTTAGAGTATATACCTTCAGCCATAGTTACCTTTCCCGGAGTAAATGCAGCCAAATCCTTCTCATCCTTAGAGAGATAATGGTCTTGCCTGTAATACAATATTCTTGCCAGGTGTTTTGCAGGTCCAAAGTTCTTGCAGGCAGGACAAAATAGCTGGGTCTATACTGACACATTGCTTCTGAGATGCTGACTCCAGGCTGTAGCAAGCTAATGGGTACTTCAAAGCAGAGAAAACCAGAAAACGAACTGGGCTCACATTTAATTTCTGTTTTCATGGGCAGTAAGGAGTCTCAAGCTCTAGGCAGTAAAAATATATCCAGTAGGCCCAGATAAGGGTAAAAATTCCTGTGTAAATAATGGGCACTTCCTTGAGTATAAGGACTATTCCTTACTAGCATGTTTTGTACTCCAAAGTTGGGATGGTTGTGCTGATACATGGCTTTTATCACTTACGAATGGGACAGCAAGGCATATTGCCTTAAGGATGTGCAAACCTGCACCCCTGGAAGCACTGCACTTATCTTTGATAGAGGTAGAAAGTTGTAGAGTTGCACAGGTTTAAACTGTGCTCCTATCACTAAACTGGGAGCACTCAGAACAACAATAGTGCTGCTAGGAGGGGGCAGTGGAAAGGTGAAGGACACAACTCATACGCACCCTTCCAGCTAATTTATCCCAGCCAAGGCACAGCACCCTGTTCACTATACCCTAGCAAAGCAGAACCAGGTCCACCAGCACCTTGCTTGGTTCTGTGTTAGGATGGCAACCTCCACCTGGTGATGCCTAGCCTGACTTCTCTGTGCTCTTCCCACAGCCGGACAATGTTATGCCTGCCCTGGAACCTCACCCTCCCCAGCAAAACAGACATCTCCTATGACCTATCCACTGCTTGTGCCTAGCACTGCCTTTGGGATACACAAAACCAGAAAGGAGTCCTAAACCTATTGCTGCTCTCTGCTCACAGATGATACTTTCACCATAAATCTGAATGGGTTTCTTGCTCCTTGCATTAGGGACAGGATGTCAAGGAAAAGAAGTGTGTGGAATATCAGCAAGTACAAGGTTAACTGGTTGTAGCAAAACCTCTCAGTTAAAAGACTGGATTGAACTTTTATCTCACAGGTTGTGTATTCAGCTGTGAAAGTGAGACAGGCAAGTCATTTATCTCAAGGTTTGTATCTGTGTGACAGAAGGAGGAGATAATATCACTCTTTTTACAGTGGCAGTATTGGTATGATTCATTTGTGTTTTATGAGAAAGCGTCCTGATATCTTCATATTAAAGGTGACAGGTGCTATTTTTCCTTAGCAAGGGAAAAAATGTGGGGTTTAAGTTTGGCACAGGAAGGAGTCATTCTTAGCCCAGCACTCCAATAGGAAACTGATTAGTCCCATCTATAAGACCCTTTCAGAGTGAGACCCTATTGATTTCTTGTTAGTGCTTCAGTAGCTTCTCAGAATGCATCTCCTTCCCTGACAAGCCTGGAGTAGTTCTTCTGGTGGTTGGCTTGTTCTCCCTGAAGCTCACATGAAGAGAAGCAGACATCAGGAGCACCACAGTGCTCTCACATCCAATTTTGCACTGCCTTGACCATCTGCCCAGAATAGAAGGTAATAGGAGGAGAATGGAGTAGCTATGGGGCCACCTAACACAAATTAGTCCCAGGAACTCAGCACAGCCTTTCAGACCTGCAAAAGTAGTTGAGGTCTGGAAATAATTGGTGAAAGATTACAATCAGATGCATGACCATAGGAAGATCCCTCACCCACCCACTTGTTTTCCACCACCATGATATGTACGCAAATTAAAGAGGTGACAATTCTTTCATCACTTCTGCCAACAAATCACACCTTCTATTAACCATTTTCTCTGGTTTCCTGTACTGGCTTCACTGGGTGATAGAAAAGTGCACCAGGAACTCCATGATCAGGACAGAGGGTCATGCTAAAGGCATTTCTGCCATGAAGAAGCCTCAAGTCATTTGTCATGAGCTGTCACGACTGCTTCATTAGACAGTGTCACAGCAGGGTTAGCTCCTGCTTTCAGCTCACATCCAAGCTTTTGGGCCCTGGCATGTGGCTGTTTGGAAGGCCAGCTAGCAAACACCATCTCCAGGAGAGGGATAGAGCTGGGCTCTGCCAACCTGATAGAGATCTGTGTTGGTTCCGTGACTGAAGAGTTTCCAGGGAGCTTCTTGTTGAAGACTGGAATGTAAGCTCAGCAGGCAGCTGTGAAGGGCAGAGTCTAATTCCAGTCCACTGCTCTAGGTAAGTGTATAAAGCACCATGACAGGTGGCCCAGTTTCACTGTGCATTTCAGTTCCTTTGCAGAAGAGACCCCAGCAGCTCTCATGTCAATCTGCCAGAGACACTTCCCAGCTGTGAAGGGCAGTGGGGTCAGGCTGAACATAAATGTATCAACAGAGCATGGTGACAACCATCAGCAGGATGATCCCCTGGCCTGGGACAGCCCCATTCCTCTGCCCTGATGTGACAGCAAAGGCGAGCAGTGCAAGGAGCAGAGTACATCATGGATCCCACATACCTGTGGCCTCTGGGCCACAGCCCATGTGTGAGCAGGGTTAGGCAAGCAGAGCTGCCTCCACCAGCCTAGGGCCAACACAAAGCCAGCACCACAGGCAGAATGGCTATGCCTCTGTGTGTCTGTGCTAAGAGGCACTGAAGAACACCCTGCCCTGTGCTGAGGGAGCGATGGATGCTCCTTGCTCCTTCCCTGAATATCTGTCTTGGAGAGGCTTCACACTACCTAGCTTGGTTGCACCTTGGTCCTCCACCCGTACTTCCATCTCCAATTCCCTGACCGAGGAAATGGCTGCTGAAACTTATCATACAAATCCTGATGCAGCTGAACTCGGAAGAGGCCTTCCATCTCCACACTATTTTCATTAAGACATTGTACCAGTGATTTGTACCACAGATGTTTTGTATTCATTCATTTCTTCACTCGGTGTGTGTGCAACCTGAAGTCATTCCCCTCTAAGCTTAAAAAAAAAAAAAAAGGGTTCTGGCTGTCCTTCTTGCCTACACCTGTTCCCAGTCCCAATTCCTCCCCTTTCTTATTCCAAATGATATAAGGCAAACAAACAACCTTTCCTTTTTTCACCAACTTTTTTGAGAAGTGATGCTTTTCATAAATGATAAATTCTAACTCCTGGAAAAGTAATTTCTGGTCTTACAAGAGTGGATTCCCAGTGAGATGCATATCATCAAACTCCCCATTGCAAGCACATTAACAAAGCCACCAGGCAGCCAATTTCCCTTACGCTTTCCACTCAGTGCCTTGAGATCACCACAAGTGATCTCTCTCTTCAAATCCTCCCTCCCTCCCACTGTTACCTCCCTCTTCAAATCTTCAAACACCAGTATTTTTATCTCTGACTTTAATGGTAATCATTAAATCAAAGGGAACACAGATTCTGCACCTTGGTAGCAGAGCTGCTGACACACTTCAGAGAGGGAGGACTAAAAAACAAACCATGGAAGCACGCTGGGGAAGGCAGCTCTGGTGAACAACCATGGGGTGGGAGGTGCTGGAGTGTCACACTGCAGTCTTAAGCATGTGCTTCATGTGCTCCTGAGTGTAAATGTCTGCTGGCAGACATCTCTGCGTGCTAAAGAGTGTCTCTCTGGTCAAAAACCTGTGTGAGCATCTGTGCCCTTGGAGAGGCTTCGGGATCAAAACAGCCTGTTGTTCCCTAGAGTTCAGGAGTCTGAGTGGGAGCCAGAGGGGCTCGTTCTTTGCAGACAGGGTGAGGAGAACTCCGGAGAAGGTTTCCAGAGGCTGCAGAAGGAAAGCAGAGGAGGAGGGAGGAAAACCAGAACAGGGAGGCAGGGGAGGGGGGAGATAGAGAAAGAGAACACCATTACTATTACAGTAATAAATCTTACTCCCAAACTTTTCCAAACAAACCTCACGGAACACACCCGTTACCTGTCCTTCCCCCCTCCCCGCCTGAATGAGCATGCAAAACTATGTAATTCTTCAATATGTGATAAACTAGAAAACAGGGTTATGCGCCCATTCTGAGATGGCAAAAACAAACCACTCCGAAGCACCTTCTGTGATATCAGTGAAACAAAACCTGCAGATCCTTTGATTTTGCTCTCAAAGTAGGTATATAAGGTTTCCTACTAACTTAGATACCAAGCTACAGGCCATCAAGCATCCATCCATCCATCCATCCGTCCATCCATCCATCCATCCATCCATCCATCCACCTCACCCACCAAATAGAAGGGAAGCCCCATGACGTAACTGTATAAAACCAGGTAGCAACAGCTACATATCTTGCAAGCAGCAAACATCTTGGCAGCAGCAAAGTTGAACAAATGCAATATGAACAGGAGAAAAATCAAGATGGTTTTGTTTGTTTGAATTTCCATGCAAGGAATAAAGCTTTGTTTACTCTGTAGCATTGAGCTATACACCAGTACACTGCTAAAGCAGTGTTTTGAACAGAACCTTGGAAACTGCCTCCTTTAAACAGGCAGCTTCCTCCTCAGAGAAAGAATGTGTTCATCAGTGGGATATTACAGTCTGTCTTACTCTTAAGCAGACTAGAGACTCTTTCAAGGAACTAGATGATAAGAATAGTAGGCTAATATATTTCCCAGGAATATTTTCTTCTGTATGACCTTGGTAGCATTACCTTTGGGCATGCAAGAATCGCCCTCCTGCACTGTGGTATTGCAAGGTGGCTGTTGTAATGACAAAAAAGAAAAAGGAACATGACTCATAGAAGCACTTCAGCATGGGGACTTTAGAGAGCTGGGAGGTGATTCCCCCCATAAGTTGTTGGGGAAGGAAATGAAAGCGCAGACCAGGGGAAAGCCCCAGGGGAGCTCTGGCATCAGGAACTGCAGCTATTGCTTACTTTGAATAATGACACTGCAGGGAATATCTCTCCATATTATGGATGTTTTTACCACTTCCAAGGGAAAAGTTATGAAAGTGCTTTCCCTGAGCCACATCCAACCTGCTCGGATTATTTGCTGAGCTGTTACAAGTGCCTGGCCAGAAGGAAAAACTGCAGCCCCACTGTATCACTGGTTTTTTTGTGGTGAGGTGCTCGAGTCACTGTGGAATACTGTCCAGATGCGACAATTGCTGTTGTGCTGCTGGGATGTGATGTGAGTAGGTCACACAGCTGGTGAGCAGGGTAACAGGGAAGTGCTCATTCCACCATTATGAACACACTAAATAGCATTTTTCTTTCTTTGTTTAATTACCTTAAAAATTAAAATACCACACTGGCTATTGTCTCCAGACTGACAGACAAGGAAGATCATCGTCCACTCCCACACCAAATACCACCCTCTAAACATCTGCACTTTTAGTGCAGGTCTCTACTGCAAATTTCAGCACTCCTTGATACTGTCTTAGTCACAAGATCTAGAAAGACAGAAGTTTCCAGCTTACAGCATGTTTTAAAAGGATTGTGTGAAGGAAAAATAGCTTTGTGCTGTGTTGCACAAGCCTTCCCCAGCACACACACCTCTCGTGTGCATGTTCACAGTATTGACTCATTGCCAAAAATGGGTGAAAGTGATTTAAAAAAATCTACAATGTTCCTTGCCTCCTTAATTTTTTAATTGCATTTGAAATTCTGCTTTTATTGAGTTTTATCAACTACGAGAACTCTGCCTATTACCTGGGAAAGGATATCCCTCTTCTGAGAAAGCAAAATACAAGCAAAGCACAGGCAAAAATGACTTCACCCCATTTACAATCCCATTACATCTCATGGGATTCAACCCCATGAATCCATTATCTGAATTCATTTTTGATTGCATATATATATACAACAGACACTCCTGACAGCAAGAAGGATGACTGCCTCTTAAGGGATTCAGCGTTCCTGAATCCTTTCCAGGGAAGGACTGAAAAAGCTGCAAATTCATATCTCCAGCAGCCGACAAGCACAACCAGAGATTTCACATTCCTAGAAAAAAATGTGGGTTTTAAAAATTTTTCTCTCTGTGCCTCTTTATAAAACAATCAATTAACTGCACAACACAAACAAATGAACAAACAATCCTGACAGTAAAACCCTAAACAAAACTCTTGCTGACTCTTTACCTGATTCCAGCAAAATCAAATATACTTGTTCTTTCCCTGGCCACTTTCTTTATATTTTACATTTATATTTATATTTATATTTATATTTATATTTATATTTATATTTATATTTATATTTATATTTATATTTTACGTTTGGAGTCATGGAAGTAGTATAGGAACTGGCATGTGACTCAGCTCAAAGCAGAACCATAGAAAACAGAGAAATCCTACAGTTCCACTGTTTTCAAAACTAAGAGCTACTGGATGAAACAGCAAGAAAGGCCTCTTCCACCAGAAGCCTATTGCAAATAGCAAGTGCTGTCTGATCTGGACAGACACTCCATGCAGAGCACCAAGAATTCCGCAGACTCGTCAGGGCTCATGCCAAGGGTCAGTATGCCCTGCTTCGTGCTCCCTGACACTGAGTCCCAGGAGACTCAAGTGGGTGCAGAGAAGACCAGGGTGCAATGGTGCACTGTGCTCAAGGCTGCCTGGGGGTAAGACAGTCTCCCCAGCTGCAGCCCAGTCCTGCCACGCAGACCCAACTGGGACACGTGGAGTGCTCACATCTAGGACAAAAATCCCAGTCCCAAGCTTGGGGTCTGTCAGATGGATTATTGTGGGGCAGCAGCAGGAATGCATGTTTTGGGGTCTGCAGCTGGCGTGTAGCAGCTGGCATGCAGTGGCTGGCTAAAAGTAGCTCAGTGTGGAATTTCTCTCTTGGCCACTTGGATCTGAATTTCAAGCATGAGCCACTCTCCTGTCTATTTCTGTTCGCCTGCACTGCTCCTCTGCTCCAATATCCACCAGAGATAGGAAGTTTTTTTCCCTTGTGGGGTAAGGAGGTGTCATGTTGGAAAAGAGCATCTCATTCCCATTCACCAGAAAGCAGACTTTGAGGCACGTTAAAACAATGTTTAGCCTGTCAGTCTGCCCAGGGTGACTGGAGGCAAGACTTACACCACACAGGGCAGACTTTTCAATTCTTTACTGATCTGGCAGAGATGAAGTTCAGTCAAAACAAGGAGGATGGAACAAATCCTGAGATGAGAGTGGTGGGCAGGGAGAAGAAGGACTCAGTTTTCTCCCTCTGCCCAGACTGAGCACTTGCAGGGTGTACAGCAACTTCTTGCTATCAATCTGCTGTAAACCCTGAAGCTCTTTCTATCCCTGTTAGCACCTCCTGGGGTGTCTGTTCTCTCACCTGCAGAGGTTCTTCCTTAGATCAATACTGGAGTATCTCCTGGCACAGCTCTATCTCATAGCGAGCAGGCTGAGCCCTCTGGGGTCTCTGCAAGCCCTCATGTATCATCTGCCAGCCTGGACACATTTCATTTTCCCTGCCTCTCTGAGGGCTGGGGAGAGAACTGGGCAGGCAAGGGCTTCCTACACCTAGGTTGCTGACCCTTCTACCTAGAGTACAGCCGGTGCCTGGTGTCAAGACTTTACGCTGCTGCTTTTCCTTAAGAAAATCACACAGCTGGAGCCCATCTTCTGGGATTCCTTGGGGCAGCAGGCAAAAAAACACTGCGGAGGAGCAAACCCATGGCAAATGAGGGCGAGAGGCTGGGGGCCACTGCTCTGCCCAGGCAGTTGCATCACGGGAAAGACTTGCTTCCGCAAGTGGGTACTTACGCGAGGGTCCCACACAGGGGGAGGTGTGCCCGTACCAGGAGTGCCCTCACTTCATATACTCCCCTTCGCTCACATAGTCCATAAAAGACCCCGGCAACTCAGCAAAATCTTCCAAGACAAGACTGGTGGAGTCCTCACCCAGCAGCTCACTGTCGGGCCGGGACGCCCGGGGGCGCGGGGCCGGTGGTGGCGGCGGTGGCGGCTGCGGAGGGGGCTCAGAGACACTGGCCTGGCCAGAGGCAGGCAGCAGCTCCTCGCAGTCCTCCGACTCCCCCTCGGAGGAAGCTGGCCCAAGGACATGGTAGAGGCTTGGCAAGCGGATGTCGAAGCGCAGGCCGAACTTGGAGAAGAGCTTCTCGTTGAGGGAGTAGAGCTTCTCTGAGATGTCATAGCCCAAGTGGGAGGAGAAGAGCCGGGCAATGTAGCGGTCCTTCCTCAGGAGGACATACAGTTTCTTTCTCGGCCAGGTGATGAAGCTGCAATCGGTCTCAGCTGTCAGCGTGACCTGTGGGGCAGGGAGAGAGTGGAGTAAGTCCCAGACCTGGGTAGGGGTCACCAACCTTGGGGGCCATGTGTTTCACTCCAGGGAAGGCCTTCTGCCCCTTTGATGCCTGTTCTCCTTGTTGATGGCAGGGCTGGAGATCCAAATTGTCCAAGTTGAACAATTGCATAAATCCTTACCTGCTGATGTTCCTCTCCCCAAGGAGCCAAAGAACCAATTTTCCAATGCAATTAGTAGCATGTCCTTGTTTACCCTAGTCATGTGGTTGGCTATGTTTCATACTCTTGCCTTCTGATGATGCTCCCCGTTTTGAGCGATGTAGCTGAAATGAACAGGGTAGCACAGACATCCTTATACCTCTACAGACACACTAAAAGAGGATGTTTTTGCATGTCCAGACAGTTCAAGTTGCCAGTGAGTAGCCCTGTGGCAGGCTGCTGACACATCCTGCTGCTGGGTTGCACAGCCCCTGCTTCAGGAAGGCCCTGGGTGCTGGAAGGGCCACCTGGAAGGCTTGCCTGGTCACCCTGTGCCAGAGGGACAACCTGTCTCACCAGCTCTGCTGGACTCTGTAGGGCTGAATGGCCCTGAAGGACATTGCAGCACTAACCAGTGAGAGAGAAAGTAAAAAGGTTTTATTGTGTTTGTGTCTATGTAGAGAACTCAAGACCTTTTACTGGGTTGATTTTAGAGAACATTTCATTTTACTTTGGGTTTTGCCAATGTAAACAGAGACCTTTTCCCCCCTAGTGGTAGGACCAAACTAATTCCAATAAAAAATATTACATAATACATGAACGTATATTACAATAAATAATAATAATAATAAAGACAAGAAATGCAGGAAGGGTCAAACTGCCTCGGGTGAAAGAAGAACATCCAAGTGTAATGGAGACACTGGCATGTGAACAAGTGCCGGAGCCAAAATATCCCGGGGGCTCCCTTTCACTCTATATCCAGGGGTCTCCTTGGTCAGCTGCCATGGCAGAGGGCCACTGGGAAGCTGAACATGGCTTGGCTGCATTTGTGTGTCCTTGGGTTTGATATTTAATGCCACTGCCATGCAAACAGCTGCCTTATGAAAGAAATATAGGAGATAAAACCTGAGAACTTTCCCAAGCCAGGCAAACAAGAGGGACGGTCACATGGAAATTGAAATGACCAGAATCTCATTTTCCTAACCAACTTTTGGCACAGCAATCAAAAGCCTCTGCTTCTTGTGAGGGATTAAGTGAGATGTAATAAGCAAACCTGTCACCTACCCAGGACAGTAAGACAGATTTCACTTATGAATCCCTCCTGACACAAGTGCTCCAGCATCAGCAGAGCCTGTAATTCAGCCTTCTGGGGGAAAGTGCCAGCCCTGAAACCCAACTCCTTCAGGTATTGGGACTCAGCAGCCCTGTAGGAAGAAGACACGGCCAAAGCAGAAAGCTTAAGGAAACCAGTTCCCCTTGTAGACCAAGTCATACTTCTGCCACTTTTTAGTGGGCTCAGGATTGACATTATTCTATCCAGAGAGCAATGGGAAAAACTTGGGCAAGAAAAACCTTCCATGCCTTCCTCCAGCAAAGTCCCAGAGTCAAACATGCACTTTTTAACAGAAATATTGTGATGCTAGGAATAAGGTTGAGATAAGCCACTGAGTTTTACTAACTTCTCAGGTGAGAGGGACTAGTGGGTTAAACAGGTGCCAAAAGCAGCACACCTCCATGGCTAAGCACAGCCATCAAGAGTAAGGTCCTGCCAGGTACACAGATTAGTCAAGTTTCACCTGCTGAATGCTGGTCTCACACAGGCTGCTACTTCTTCATGCTCCTCAGTAAGCAGATGTAGGGTTTAGGCATTTCCAGCACATGGCTGCAGCCCTTCCCACATAGGACTCTACCTCCCCATCCTGGTGCCAGGCACAACTTACCTCCCTGACCAGCCCTGTCTTGCAGAGCAGCAGAGGTGCCAAGAGCGTGGTGCTGGCAGGGCTGGTGCAGCCAGGCACCGGCTTGCTCCAAAGCTGTCTCGCACACAGAGATAAAGACCCTCAGGAGGTCTGAGAACATTCAGTTCCACATAAATTAGCTCAGAAAATGCTGCAGATGTCTTTGCCAGTTGCATGCCATCCAGACAGCCATTTTCCTGCCTGGAGCACCGGACAGCCATCATTCTCTCTTGCTGGACTCTTAGGCAAACACAGCCCAGCAGCTACCAGCAGTCTGCTGCCAGACTGAAGACCCGTGCAAAACAGGAGATACCATCATCCCTAGCACCATCATGCTGTTGTTGCTTTCTCTACCTCACTGCCTTAGCGTGACATCCCTATTTCTCCTCACAAACTGTAGCCCTGTGCCACAGTCACACGGTCAGCCATCTCCTGCAACCGTTCTTCTTGCAAGACCATAACCACTGGTGATGGGACAGCTTTCAGGAGTGATCACCAGACTCTTTCACACATGAACCGAATTCAGACCCTAGAAAAGCAGATTCGGAGAGCTGTGCTGGTTTAACCAAGTCTGCTTGTGGCTGCCCTCATGAGAAAGCATCATCAGGCCCTCGTGACCATCCCATGCTCCCAAGGGATTAGCAAAATCCCTCCTCATATGCATTGATTGACATAAGCTAGATTGACATCCTGACAGGTATCGAGCTGTCCTGGGATGTGAGTTAAACTCAGAGGGATGTAGAACTAAGTAATCTTCTCCAGAAGGAAAGCCAAACAAACACTGTGAGGTGTTGACAGCAAGGCCAAAATCCTTTTAGTTGCTGCAAGTAAGAATTGGTCTGGCCTCTCAGCGAGGGATTCTTTTGCTCAGAAAGGACCATATTCGGGTGTGAATCATCCTTTCTGCTTCTCCACCCCAAACACATGACCATCAGAAACTTCTGTGAGGAACGGGATATTTATGGATTTGCATCACTGCTGCACATTGCCGCAGCTGCCATCCTGATGCTAAGACAATGCATCCTGCTAGCAGTGTGCAGAGCAAATGCATCAGTATAGGTACCAGGGAATGCTACAATGGAAGAGAGCCAGGAATCCGATACCTTGACTTCCTGCTAAACCGGAAGAAGCACCATGCTCCACTCTCCTTGCTATCAGCTGATAGTGGGAACATGCACTGAGGTCTTCAGAGGAAGGTAGAAAAAAGTGTAACACAGCTGATCACACCGTTCTGTGCTGGATAAACCACTAGGAAATGGAAGGAGGTATTCCCAGTTTGTTTTGAATGGCATAATGAGGCCCCTCCATCCCCTTCTTAGACACACAATGAACCAGCAAGTACTGAAGCTGGGCTGCTGTGGGGATGCACAGGATTACCTGGAAGGTTCCTTCCTCAGAGGGTCGCAGTGACTCCCATTCTGGAGAGTCCAGGAACTGGTAAGGAAAGACGTAGTGAAGGAATTGTCCATCCTGGCACACTCGGATCCTGCAGAGGGGACAGGTCAGGTACATGGACTTAGGCCACAAAATAGACGTCACAAAAACCTGATCAGCTTACACAGTGTGTCCCACGAGGGAGGAAATAAATTCTTGTCTCAACCATGTCTCATACCTCCTGGGACAGCTGCAGGTGCTCCAGTCATGGAGCTTATCTCTCCTTTCTCTGTGGGAAACTATTTGCTGCTACTTCCTGGTACTCCATCTGTTTTCTGTTTCTTGTTACAAAGACAGCCCTCACAGGTGCAATGCTTGGTCCTAAACCAGGACTTCTCAGCCCACAAGGTACTGCTGCTTTCTAGGTACTTCTAAGTCAACCTGTGGCTCTCTGTACTTGCATCTTCTTCCTGTCCCCAGGGTTGCACGAGGGCATTCCCTATCTTGAGATTGGGAAGCTGTTACACCCAGAAACCTCAAAAATCATGCTGGCCATCATTCCCGACAGATCACTCTGCTAGCTCATAGTTTGCTCCACATTACCTCTCAATTTCTCTTGGCCTCCCAAGTATCCCTTTCCCCTATTTTTGCTACAATTGCCTGCCAGTGTCAAGGTCAAGCATGTGCTCTGATGTGGGAGTAAAGAAAGACACAGGCCTGAGGCAAGGGCAATGGCAGGGCACCCTGGAGTTCTATTCATAGCTCTGCATCACCAGATTTGGGGCCTCTTGCCTCCCCGTTATCATGTACCCCCATTGTGTGATGCAGGAAGTCAATTCTTGCTTTCAGGAGTTACAAGATTCATCTCACTGTTGGCTTTCAGAAAGCTGTGAATGTTGCCTAGAAGGGTTGTGGTTGCAAGGCATGTTTCCTGATCCAGGCATATTCTGCATTTCCAAGACCCCACTTGTTCAATTTAAGAGGGAGCACCATAATAGTAGCAATTGCTCTGCTGGGTCAGCAAGGACCTCACAAGGCAATGGAGTACTGGGAAATGCAAATCCAGGCCCATCTCCAAGGAGCATCCTATACCAGCCAAGACGCATTCTTCCCACTGCAAAACAGAGCAGAAAAACTACCCCACCAGCACCATCTTACTGTCTGTTGCAGCACTTTCATGCCCACAGAGCAGCACTGGATTATCTAGTGTATGTCAAGACAGCACAGACTCTTCCTCAGTAACATTATCTGCAGATACAGTAAACTTAAGAGCAAGCTGCTCAGCAGAGTTGGAAAAATACTTAATAGAAACACAGACAAAATTTCCTTCCAGTGCTTTGCCATTCAGCATCATGATGGTCCCAGGATGCTCTCAACACATTCTAGAAAAGTGAGTAACATAAAAAAAATATGGTCAGCCCTTCTTTGCACACTGCCTCATCAGAGAGGATGGGCCACTGCAGTAAAGCATGAGCCCCAGGTGATGCTGAGTTTGTCTTCCCAGAGGAAAATCCTGGTGAGACATACCTTCTGTAGTTCAGCACTGCTCGCATTTACAGATCTTCTTCCTTTCCCACTCTCATTTAACATTAATGCCAAATGCCTGACAGCAGCTGGGAAGCCAACACCATTACCATTTGTATGCATCTGGATTTTGCAAATTGTTAAGTGAATATGCTGATGCCACAGCATCTCAGGTGAACAAATACCAGTACTTGATCAGCACAGTTCACTCAATCAGATTTCTAGTCTGGCTGTCTAGAGGTCCTCAAGGTTCTCCTTGGTGGTCCAGGGGACGGGACATCATGAATGCATGACATCACAGGGAAAAAAAGAGGCAGGATCCACCACAGGAGGGTACTCTCTTTTTTGATGAAATGACCCTCAAAGTGAAAAATGTCAAAGCCCTGGGTGCTGGGGTGTTAGGAACAGGGATGGAACCTCTCCCTGAACACTGCTGGCCAGGGGGAGCAGGTGAACTGAGGACTCGGCGTACTCAGTGCACAGCAGTTGACATCACAGAAGTGTGTCTGGTGCCCTCAGAGACCACAGGTCCAGCCATACTGCCCTCCTGCCTTGAGAAACACTTTTTCACAGCCAGCCTGCTCCCATCAGAAATAAGATCACTTCTAAGTGAGGGAGAAAGAGATAAGGATTACCCCACAGTATCACAGGCAAGTCTGAGCTAGCCACTTCATTACACACAACTCGAGTCTGCAAACCATTTTCTGAAATACTCTTAATATAGAAAAAATAAAAGAAAGTTAAAACAACCCCCAAGAACAAATTTCCCCCTTCCCCAACAAACTGATGCATATCTCAAATCCCGTTCAGAGGAAGGAAACAATCCTCACCCCAGATTCTACAGAGGGTAGAAATAAAATAATAAGCCAAAGGTGCTCTGCTGTCAGACTTCGTTCAGAAATGGGGGAGCCTTTACCTGCCAGACAGCAGCAATGAGAGGCGGTCGATGGGCGTCTTGCCCTGTACCGCGTAATTCTGGTCTCTGACTAGCAACTGGACATGCTCTTCACAGCACTTCACAATTTCTTTGTAGACATCCAGGGGCACCTGCAAGGGCAGGTACATGGTCTTGTAGAGGAGGTCAAACTCTTCTGGGATGGTGTTTCTGCGGAGCCGGTAAGCCAGGTGAGCCAGCTGAAGCAAGCAGATGAGGACGAGCAGCATGTTCCAGATGAAGATATCCAGCCCACAAGCATTCAGCCAGCCCCACAGAGCATAGCAGAAGTAGCCTGGGGCCAGGAGGCCAAATATATAGAGGGACCCAAAGATGCCACTTCCCCCCATGTAACCCAGGAGGACGATGCAGCTGGCCAGCTGGTAGGCTGCTTCCTCCATAATCTCCTTCCAGGCATCACACACCGGAGGCTGGAGGACAGCCTGGTCCCAAGAGAGGCTGCTTGCGCTCATCCTTCCCCACTCCCCACCCTCCCCAGCCATCCTGCGCTCAAAATGAATTGTCATACACAAAGGGTGTTGCAGAGATCTGAAACCAGAGCTGCTGGGTAGCTGTTCCTCCTCCTCCTCTGGTCCCACAGCAGTGCTTCAGGGCGACATGTTAAAGTGCTGCCGAATGTTTTTGCACCCAAAAAATTCCAGAAGGGCTCGTTTCTCCTCTTTGTGGCTCACAAACCGTCGGCTGGTCCCCTTCTTAGCCACAACAGTGAGAAAAGAAGCTGGCAAATGTGAGGCCAAAAGAGCTCAGTCAAGAAAAGAGTAGAGGCCATTAGCTGGAAAACTCACAGACAGGACAGAGATCTCGTTGCACTGCCTGTCTCGCCTGCGCTCCGGCAAATGGAATAGCGACTGTGAGAGAGCAGCAGAGGGAGCTGGTGTTGAGTGTGGAATGTGTATCTCTTGGCAGCGGAACGGAGAGAGACCCCAAATGGATAACCATGTTTGGAATTGAAATCCAAGGAGCAAAAGCAGAGAGGAGAACAGAGAGCAAGCATGCACCCGCTACTTAACATAACTCAGGCGTCCAGATAAGCCCAGCGCAGCGTGAGGAGGGGAAAGCAGAAGAGAAAACAACCAGCTTATCGCGGCGAGCTCCAGCCACACATGGGGCTCTTCATCACCCTGTGCTCCTGCAAGAGAATGACTTTCACCCAGCACAAAAAAGGAAAAAAGGTCACCCCCTTCTCCCACTGTGGCTTGTAGCAGTGGCAGGGACTTAGCAAAAGAGAGGCTGGCTCTCAATTAATGATTTCCAGACGCTACACACAGCCTCCCCTTACTCCGGGGAATTCCATCTCATACGGGGTTTTAGATCAAAGAGCACGAAGTAAAGCTCTGCACAGCCAGACAGTGTGATTGCAAAGGATAAAAGCAGAGTAAATGAGCTTCTGGCACCCAGTTTCATCTACCATGAAGAGGAGACTACCCTGCCAAAAGCTTTGTGAGTATAACACTTGGAAGCATGTTTTGTGGGGAAATCCTAGTTGAGGGAGGATCCTGGCACCCCACAAATAACATGCTCTGTTGGGAAGTATTCTTGGGAAACATCATCTTACATTTTCATTTTTTTAATAGCTATTTTGGAACTCCCCCCCTGAGACCTTCATTTAGCACAAAGAGGAAAGCAGACACTTTCAATTCAGATAACCCTGGACATAGGCATGAGAGGGAGCCTCCGAGTTCAGTCCTCCACAGTCAGCTACAGAAAAGATGCATAAATGCAATTTCTCTCCTGCTTCAAGTAACACGTTATCAGTCACACAGGCAGGATCTGCCCTGCTGCCAGAAGCAGTTACATTTCAGGCATCGACGCAACCCACGTGGTCACTCAACACAGTATGAGGTCAGCCTGCACGGGTCAGTGGAGTAGAGATAAGGTTTCAAGGGTGGTTGTGTTTCAGGCCGGGCTTGCAGCTGCCCTGCCTAACATACCATTCCCATTGGCACCATTCACTTAAAGACACACTAATCACCTCTTCTACTAATAGTGCTCTGGAATAACACTGTCTCCTGGGCAAGGATGAAGCAATGCTTTGTGGCAACCTTAAAGAACTCATCGTGGTCTTGGACAGTACAATCTTATCTGTGCAGTGATTAGGCCAGGTGCAATATAGAGCTGTATGGCTCCTTAGAGCTGTACCATCTTGACAGGTTGCCACGTGGGAAGGAAATAAGACAAATCAAGCTTTGCACAGGGTGAGCGTGATCCACTCAGAAAGATGCTTTCTGTTAAGGGTGAAGTGAAACGCGGAACTTAGTCTCCAGTGGCCCCTTAATTAAGTGAAGAAATAAATCCTACTGACTGAAGCAGAAAAATCTCATCTGCAAGAGTTATGGGGAAACTAAGAACTTTCTATCTCTTGACCTTCTCTTCTCAAGCTGAGAACACTTGGAGAAAGATACTTTACGTAAGATCTGGGAGACAAAACTGAACTGCTATGAACAGAAATGTAGAACTACAATAGAGGAAGCATTCTCAAAAGCACCACTGCAATTTCTCCTGCCTTTCTGTACTACCAAAAAACTTCTGCAGCGACATCAAAGAAAGTGGAAAAAAGGAAGTTATTGATTTCACTCTTCAGTTAGGTACATTCCTGAGCTAGAAAATACTCTGGAACACAATGCCAATGATTCATTCAAACAAAGAAGGTCCTTCCTCTGCCATCCTCTAGAACATAAACAGTGGTGCTGCAGTGATGCTGGGGACACCACCGCAGGTGAGGATGACCTGTTGTGACTTCTCTGTAGAAGACAAACAGTAAGCTTTCAACCAACAGCAATGACAGCTATATAGACTTGTCCAGTATCCTTTCCGTACCTGCTGCACACAGGTATGTCAGCATCCCACTCACCATCTTCCTTCCAAAAACTTTACAAAATACCTACCATGCTTTTACCCTCATGGAGGCCCAGATATCCCATTTCTTACATTTAGAGAATTTGTGTAGAATTGTGCAGGGGTCCATTTTTTTTCATTTCTTGACATGATATAAACAAAGCTCTCACTAGAAACTATACAACTTTTCTGATGCGTCTCAATGTGACAATGCAGAGAGAATGATACAGCCTTTTAAAAGGTAGATCTCCAAGTACGCACTAGAGATTAATTTAGGTGGGTTTAGACTCAGGTTTTTAAAAGGAAGATTTGTAAAGTGATTGAGCCACCATGGCTCAGATCTTTCTTTCTCCTTTGACAGTTGCCATGGCTATACAGATCATCCTCACACCACTTTGAGTTTTCCACACAGCAACAGTTAAAAAACCTTTTACTGCCAAAGAGAAATTTTATGCTCATGCCTTGCCTTGAATTAGAATACATGTCTTTCATCCAGGGATGCTGGTTCATCCAAGAGGAGTGCCCAAAAGCCAATGCTGATTCAATGGGAAAGCCACACAAGTATTGAAAGGAAGATACCAAAGTCAAACCAGTTTGGAATCAAGACAGCAAGTGCATAGAAAACACCTGAGCAGCATTAAGCCCCTCCCCTGGAAGAAGACACAAAAACACTGTAATAAAATGAGTCTCTGAAGAAGGAAAATAGGCATGTCAAGCATTTCAGCACTAAAATGGGCAGTGTTTAAATAGGTACTCGACTGATTTCCCCACTTAAAATTAATTCAACTTAATACCACTTAGTATTTAGCTGCAAGAGATGATGCAGCCCAGGTGCAGCCTGCACTATGTTTGGCAAATAAATCCTCTGTCCTTGAGAACCACACAACACAGAGATTATCAGTCCCAAATCTCACAGCAGCTGAATGACTGGCCATTTTGCCTATCCTCAGGAAGTCTACAGATTCACTACAGATCCCACAGTCTGAAAACTAGTTCAATCACCCATGTTGAGGACACTAAGACCTTGGTGGCTTAAAGTCACAGACGGCATAATCAGACATCTCCTTTTTGATTTATTATACAGTGCATTGCTGGCATTAGTCTGCAGAACTGTTACTTATACACTACTAAACCCTGTAGCTCCAAAATACACACATTCAATTTACAGCTTCTGGGAAAGGTCTCAAGCCTGCTCCAGACAAGCTCACAGCGAGTCACAAAGGTTGAAGGATAGCATGTACTGTATCTAATTGTACTGCTACATAGTTTAGTCAAGTTTCCTGCTATTGTCAGGTTTCACACCCTCACAGGTACACCAAACACACTGTGCAGGGCAGTGCCTGCCACCAGCACTGTTGGTAAGTAGTAACATAGTGACAGTAACTCCCACACCTCGAATTGAGCCCTGAATCCACTCCACAAGAATACTGCGGTAAGAAATGAAATCACTCAGCAAGAAACGTGATTTGACTATAAGGTTTTTCCACTGTTGCTTTAAATATAGATTTGTTCCAGCATCCTTTCCGTACCTGCTGCACACAGGTGCGTCAGCATCCCACTCATCATCTTCCCTCCAAAAATTCTCTAAAATCCCTACCATGCTTTTACCCTCGTGGAGGCCCAGACATCTCATTTCTTACAATTACAGAATTTGCGTAAAATTGTGCAGGAGTCCTTTTTTTTCTTTTCTTGTCCTGATATAAACAGCATTCCCATTTGACCACTACCTTGCTCTATTCTGTGGCACCATTTCCACAGTTTACCCAGACTGGACATGCCACCACAAAGTTGGTGCTCATGCGTCTTTTAACATTCTCTTCAGTTTAAGCCCTGACATGCAATGGTTCAACAATAAATGACCTTGTTCAAGTTTCTACCTCAGGACAACAATAAACACCAAGAGAAGCACCAGGTCCTGCTGCTCAGACAGCTACAGTGCCACAGGCAGCCTTGCATGCTTTCTGCCAGAACTACACCGGCGTCCCTTCTCGCAGGCTGAAAGCCAACATGGGCACAACTCTTGCCTCGGGACAGGACCTTCACAAAACATTCCTGGAGGCGAGTCTGAACTCTCCTCAAGCAAGTTGTGAGTCTCAGCAGAGGCAGCACCAAAATTCACATACTAAATGCTCACGGCCTGTTCACTGCTAGCTCAGGATATGCAGGACACAGCTGGCAGAGAAGCAACAACAATGGTGGGTGACTGCACCCACCCCTTCAGCAGGATCAAAGCCAAGAGAAGAGTCAAGACAAAGCACAGATCTTGTATCTTCAATTTCTGAAGGAAAATTTTTCCTCTCATCAGGAGAGGAAGTAATTAGCGATACTGCTTTCAGCAGTCAAATCACCACAGGAAGGACAACAATGGTAGGGTTGCACAATTTCATAGTATGAAGCCAAAAAGTCACAGATGTGTAACAAGCTACCAACTGCACCTTTTTAGTCTAAGAAGGAATCAAAGGCCAAAAGCACCCTCCCACTGTCATTCCATACAGGTGGAAAAAGAAGCCAGAAAACAAAAGCCCATGCGTGCCTAGCACAAGACCAATACAACAAAAACTGTTGCATAAAAAAAAAAAAGGCTTTTCTGACAGGGAGCAGTCCTCTGCTCCCTTTCCCTTGAAGAACTATCAGCTCAAGTGAGTTTGATATGGGAAGTACTTAATTCTTCATTATAAAGAGTGAAGCTTGAATCCTTGGGTAAAGCTATTCAGAAAACACTGGAAGAATTCTAACAGGGAAAAACGAATACAGTTTTGACTGTAAGGAAAGTTCATTTTGTAGGACTGTGGTCGTCTTTGTACAAACATAGTTACAACTACTGTCACAAACTGCATTACAAGCTTCAGCATGACTTTGCTGAAAGCAGTAAGAGGGCAATTTTACTGGCACAATTTCACAATTTCCATCAGTGGGAAAAACCACCCAAGTCCTCTCTGTTCAACCACAACACCACAGTAACCAATGTTCTTATGTTAATGATCCAGGCAGGCTTTTCTCATTCTCACATTTCCGGCAGCACACTGTTTTCAATAAGGGGAGCACTGTCATTTCTTTACATAAAAAGAAACAGAAGTCAGGAACGCTGGTCA